TTGTCCTTTGTTCACACAAAAGGACTTGATTTCAAAGACCAAAAATCTCTCTTCCATGAAAGTTGTGGCCAATGATATAGAAACATGGGACAATGTTTTCAAGTGAAAGAAAAGCATTGAAAAAGGTTGTTTCTATTAGTTTTGTGAGAAAGCTTTACCCAATTTCCCAAAAAACTATATGAAAGTTTCAATCTCTCATTGTATTCGGACATTCCAAAAAAAAAACAGAGAGCTTTATGAAACTTAAAACTTCCCACAGGTAGTAACCAAAAACAAAAACCTTTGACAATAGTTAAAGCAATAAGCAGAAAGCAAGATGAGACAAAAAAATTTCTTTAGTTTCGGGCAGAGAAGAAAGAATTTTCAAAACCCATTTAAAACAATTTTTCTAAGAAAAAGGTAAGCACATGTTCTATATAAAAGAGGTAATTTTTTCTCATGCATATGACCCATAGAGAAGGGGGAAAAATGGCAGCGGAAAAAAAAACACACCCAAAAGAAGCATAGCCATAGGATCAGGCAGGTTTTGATGCCAATAAGAGAAAAAGATAGAAATAAACAGAGAGAGGTGAAGCAAACGTACTGGGTCGGTTTCAGGTCATGATGTTGGTAGCTCATGCATTACCTTAACTACTAGAGTCTTGATAAGAATGGCATGGTAGATGCACCAGAGAGAGGAGAAGAGAACACCGAAAAACTCTACAGTTGGGATAAAGAGAAATGGGTGGAGGCACCTTCTATTTATAGGGCCAGAGTGACCCATATTTCAAGAAGGTGCAATCTTCTTTATTTATTGCGAGATAATATTCCAATTTCACAATCGACAATTAATATCTGATTGATTTCTCTCCAATCAATTAAGTCCATAATGCTTGATTGAATATTTCCTAATCAATCATTAATTGCTTTTGATTTATGATTGATTTTCTTGATTAGAGAGATTCTCCTCTCTTGGATCATGTAGTCCAGCCCATCAAGGACAGACTCGGGTCCAATGTCCAACATATATGTCATGAAAAAAGTGATAGATACATATAAATATAAATACATATTATAAATCATATTATTAAAACAAAATTTGAGTTGGGAAAAGACGAGGCAATTATGCTAAGGTTGTAAAGAGGCCTTTAGCCTCGTATATCAATTATGTTAGTGGCAGTCTTACTCAAGAGGGGGTGAATTGGGTAAGCTATAAAAATTTAAGTGTATTGAAACAGTGAAATAAATAAAAGCAGAGAGTTTTGAGTTAGAAGGATTTCACTGTAGAGCAAAGACACAGGATGTATACTGGTTCGATCTTAACCATTTGACCTACATCCAATCCTTAGAACATCTATGATATTTTCACTATGATCCCAAGATTAAATGGGTACTTGGTACCTCAGTACAGTAATTGATTTCCTCAATCACTCTCCTTTACTACCCGTAAGGTTACAATCCCTCTCAAGAGTCCACACTCTTGAGTTACTCTATGAAAGTGAGCAAAATAGGTGTATCAATCTCTCTCATAGGGTAAATGAATATGAAACACTGAAGCTTGGTGAAAAACAAAGTATTGAATGCAACAGTAAATATTTCATCAGAGGATAGCTCGCGTATTCAATGACTCATTCAATGTTCTTTGCACCTTTTATAGTTGGAGAAGTAACCGTTAGACTGAAGAGCTTCTAACCGTTGGAAGTTCGGTTGCGTGTTTTCCTAGTTGTAACGGTATTCGCCATTAATGCTTCTGACACAGTAGGTTAAGGACTACTAAATATCCATTGAGCTTCGTATTCTGTAACAACACTTGAAACTAATAAGTTTTCCTTCAGAATGAAGGTTATGAAGATAATTGATCGAGCAATAATAATTGATATTCATATGGCAGTTGGAAATGGAGTCAATCAATCACCAGATACATTAAACATGAATTGAACATCCTTGATCGAAGTCATGATCGATAACTGGTTGATCGATCAAGTTATCGATTAACTAAAGTGAAAGAATTTGAAACAGACAAGTATATTTATCGATCAAGTTATGGATTAACCATTGATCCATCAAGTGATCGATAAATGAAAAGAGTGACTTTTGAATGATTAAGCAGGAAAAGGTTTAGGATCACCTATGGCTTTGAATCCCTTAAAATAGAGAATTAAGATTAACATGAAGACTGAGAAAAGCTTGAAGAGTAATATTCAACAAATTTTGAAAATCACTATAACTTGTTGTTGTTAACTGAAATGAGTCAATGATCGATCAAGTGATCAAAAACTGTTTGATTGATTATGTTATCGATAAAGCTGAGTGAGAGAGAAATAGATTTTCAAAGAACAATGATCGAGTACTTTATCGATAAATGAATGATAGAAAAACTGATTGATAAAAAGTCAAGAAAAGTATTTTATGATGAAAACACAGATTGTATAATGTTCGAGTAGTTGATCAATTAAGGATCGATCGATCAAGTTATCGATAAAATATTGTTTGAAAAAATTAGTTAAAAATCCAGGGATAAAGTTTGATAGATCAAGTTATGTGAAAACAGACTATTCAGAAGTTTGGATGATCGATCATTTCATCGATAATCACATGATCAATCAGGTGATCGAAAACATAACTTAAAATAGTAGGTGCAGTGAGATAGTGATGATCGATCATTTGATCGATAAATCACTGATCAATCAAAGATCCAGACAACAACCTTCAACAAAAATATATCAATAATCCAGTGAGTTGTTAAGTGATGTTCAATCAGGGTATTGATAAATCTCTGATCGATAAAGTGATCAATAAATGGTGAATGAAATAGAATATAACTTAAGTGGAAGATTTTTACCATTTATCTATCTTCTCATCAATAACTTATTTATCAATCATGTGATTGATAAATACTTACCAGAATTATGTCTCTTTATCTATCAATTGTTTGATCATCTGATTATCGATCAAGTTATCGATTATTTTCTGCAGACTTCTATACCAAACAGTGTTAATAATGGTCCATCAATTGATCGATCAACTCATACAATTTGAATTATCTATTAATTTATCGATCAAACTTAGTGCTAACATTCAAGCAAATAGAGACATTTTATCTGACACTTGATCGATGATCAACATACTAAACCATAACATACTTGATTTATTACTATCAAAACATGAAATCTAACATTCTCCTCCTTTTTGATGATGACAAAACACAGGTGTAAGACTAATCATATTTCATCAGATAATAATATTCATCAGTAAATATCAAACTATCAAAATTTAGTAGAAATGTGCAACTAATATCATTTTAAGTACTGTTAGAATTCAAATTACATAAATATAAAAAGAAATACATGAAAACATAACAGAAATAACAACAAGAATAAAAAAAACAGAAGAACTAAACAGATTCCTTCTCCCCCTTTTTGTCAGCATCAAAAAGGGGGAAGAAGTAGAGACAGTAGGCAAGGTGATTGGAATAGGAAGAGGGGGAAGCTAGGAAATTGGAGAAATAGCCTAAGAAATAGGTGGAAGAGTTAGAGAAGGAGCAGGTTGAGGAACAGTAATAATGGCTAAAGTGGATGGAGTGGGAGAGGATGTGACAGGGATAGAAGGAGAAGCAGGTGTGGGAGAGGTAGAGATAGGTGAGGAAGATGCTTCAAGAACAGGATGAGGAGGAGAGGGTGGATAAGATAAGAGATCCTCAAAGTTGAAGGAGGTACTTGGTGCAGAGAAATTATTGCAGAGAGAGGCTACCATCCCTTTCAACTCTCTAATCTCCTTTTCAACGTAGTCAAATCTCTAGGAGACCTCTTTTTCTAAGACTACCATAGCTTGACAATGAAGATCTAATATTTTGGAAAGTCCATCAAATTTCTTGTCTAAAATTTCACCATAGTCTTTGGCCGTGGCATACACTCTTTTCTCAAACTCTTGTAGCTCAATTTGGAATATATTCCAGATAGTGTTGCCATAAAATGAGGAGCCAAAGGTTTGAGAGGGTTTTGCAGAAGATTTAGCTTCATCCTGGCCCTTTGAACCACTAGTCATTGGCTATTTTCTTTTCTCTTTTCTTGCCAATTTCTATGAAGACTGAAAGGGCACTAGAATCTTCATTTTATTGAGCTGGTTAATTCCGAATGTAGGAACCTTCACTTTGACTTCTCCAAGCTCGAAGGGTGCAATGTTGTTTACTTGGAGAAAGTATGTGACTAGCTAAGGATAGGGGATGGGTATGGACTTGGACTTACTGAGTGTGAAATCCTTCATGTCACTATAGATTAAGGCTCCAATATTGATTTTCTCTCCACTGATTATCCTGGCCAACAGTAGGTAGTCATCCTGGTTTAAGTGTGAGAAGCTGCCAGACTTGTTCACCATGCTCCTTGAATAAATGTAGTGGATTATTCTGTAATAATCACATATTTGTTTTGGTGGGAAGTTCAACTCTTCTGGGTAGCTATCACTATGCAGTTGTAGAGATATGATATGATTTGATATGTAAATATTATGTAATTATGATTAGGATTTGATAGGATATGATATTATCATAATGAGCCATTAATGCAGAGGCTCCTCTCACTTGTATATATATGTGTATATTCTGATCAATGAAATATAAGAGAATTATTCTCCATATTATTCTATTTCCTACATGATATCAGAGCGTAGGAATTTTCTTTTTGGGTGTTAATTTTCGGTTGCTACAGTACCAAAATTACTGTGTGAGCTCGTGACCCTCTTCCCGACGCTTCCTTTGGTGCCACCGCCCTGCCTGTTCACTCGGCGTCCGTACAGTGTCCGTACAGTCCGTACTCCTGCACTGTTCATCGACTTTTCCGGCGCTCTGCACTGTTCACTCGCGTCCGTACAGTCCGTACGCTCTGCATTGTTCATCGACTTTTTCCGGCGCTCTGCGCTGCTCACTCGGCGTCCGTACGGTTCTTACTTTCTGGCGTTCTGTTTCGTTTCTGGCGCATCTCCGACACGCTGTTTGTGTAATTCAGTTCTGTTTGCAGCTCCCTGTGTAGCTGTTGGCCTTTTTACTGCTTTGGTATTCATTAGGTAATCCAGGTATCGTGCTTTGTGTTCCTGTGTAACACTCTTTCGCATTCCCTTTGGTTAGTGCACTTCATCTATGGCGGAAATTAAATCTGTCTCAGAGCTTGTCCCAACTATTACTAAAATTACTGATCACAAGTTGACTTGGATAAATTATTTGGATTGGAGTAAAACCATTCGCCTCTATCTGCGGAGCATTGAGAAGGAAGACCATCTGACTGATGATCCTCCAACAACTGATTCCAAAAAGACCTGGTTGCGGGATGATGCACGGCTATTTTTCCAGATCCGTAATTCCATTGACAGTGAGATTATTCCCTCTATTAATCACTGTGAATTGGTTAAGGAACTAATGGATTATTTAGATTTTTTGTATTCAGGAAAAGGAAATATCTCTTGTGTTTACGAGGTCTGCAAAGCTTTCTATCGTTCTGAAAAACAGGATCGTCCTCTCAAAGCCTACTTTATGGACTTTAAAAGGATGTATGAAGAACTGAATGTGTTAATGCCTCTTACTGCTGATTTGAAGGTTCAGCATAAGCAACGGGAGCAAATGGCTATTATGAGCTTTCTTACTGGTCTCCCACCTGAGTACGACACAGTTCGGTCTCAAATCTTATCCGGATCTGAAATTTCTGACCTTCAAGATGTGTTTTCCAGAGTAATGAGAGCTGAGAATCTCTTGCCACCAGCTGCTAGTATTCCTACAAGTGCCTTGCTCAGTAAGGGCACCTATGAGACTCGTAGTCCCATTGATAACCGCGGGGGGCCTACCCGTGGTGGTTCGAAGCAAGGGGGAGCCCCTTCTGACTCCAGTGGGGTAGTGTGTTATTACTGCAAAGAACCGGGGCATACAAAACGCACATGTCGAAAACTTCAGAATAAACAGCAACGGAATAACTCTGCCCACGTGGCTACACAAGCCAGTGACACAGTCACGATTTCTGCTGCTGAGTATGCCCAGTTAAAATCTACTACACCGTCTGTGAGTGCCGCAGCTACAACAGGTAATAATGCTACTGCCCTTGCTTCTTCTCCTCAAAGTAGATCATAGATTCCGGGGCTACTGATCATATGACAGGTAACAGCCATCTCTTCTCCTCTTATAATGCTTTTGCCAATCCGTCAAGTGTTTCCATCGCTGATGGTTCCCAGTCTCAAGTTCTCGGTTTTGGCACTGTTAATCCCACACCCTCTATCCGTTTGTCATCTGTGCTAAATGTTCCTAAACTTTCTTTTAATCTCCTATCTCCCAGTAAACTCACCCGTCAACTAAACTGTTGGGTCTCACTTTTTCCTTCTCATTGCTTGATACAGGATCTTTTGACGAGGCGGATTATTGGTAGAGGTTATGAATCTGGCGGGCACTATATACTGGATGATCGGGTGTCTCATGCGGTAGCTTGCGCTAGCAGTCATTCTCCCTTTGAAGTTCATTGTCGATTGGGTCATTTGTCTCTATCTTCTCTTAAGAAAGTTTATCCTCAATTTCAGCATTTGTCGTCTTTAGATTGTGAGTCATGTCAGTTTGCCAAGCATCATCGTCTTCCTTTAGTGTCTCGTGTCAATAAACGGGTTTCATCCCCTTTTGAGTTAGTCCATTCTGATGTTTGGGGTCCTTGTCCTGTAGAGTCCAAAGCAGGGTTTAAATACTTTGTTACATTTGTTGATGATTATTCCCGGACAACTTGGTTATATTTAATGAAACATCGCTCTGAATTGTTTTCCCATTTTTGTGCCTTTTGTGCTGAGATTAAAACTCAATTTAATGTTTCTATTCGCACCTTACGAAGTGATAATGCAAAGAATATCTCTCTGCTTCGTTCCAATCTTACATGCTTCAAAATGGTATACTTCATCAGTCGTCTTGTGTCGATACACCAGCTCAAAATGGTGTTGCAGAAAGAAAAAATCGCCACCTACTTGAGGTGGCCCGTGCACTTTTGTTTCAAATGCAGGTTCCTAAACCATTTTGGGCTGACGCGGTCTCCACTGCCTGCTTCCTTATTAATCGAATGCCTTCCTCTGTTCTTGATGGTAACTCTCCTTTTTTTACCCTCTTTCCTTCTAAGCCTTTGTTTCCTATTGCTCCTAAGATATTTGGGTGTGTCTGTTTTGTGCGGGATGTACGTCCATCTATTTCAAAGTTAGACCCCAAGTCGCTTAAATGTGTCTTCCTTGGATACTCTCGGGTCCAAAAAGGTTATCGTTGTTTCTCACCTACTCTCAATCGTTATTTAGTATCTGCAGATGTCACCTTTCAGGAGTCCACACCATATTTCTCGCATTCTTCCCCACCTGCTCCACCTGCGGAGGAGGATGACCTTCTAATATACTCTGTCACCTCACCATCACTGTCGTCGCAAGCACCCGCTCCCGCACTCGTTCAACCATTTGATCGTGTGTATACACGACGGTCAGAGGAGATTACTACCGCCACGCCAGCTTCTATTCCTCCCTGGTCCGCCTCGCCCTCAGATCCTGAGTTGAGCAACACTGAACCTCGTTCTGACCCTAATCCTGAGACACCTCCTGTTCCAGACCCGGATGCCTCTCTTGATCTACCCATTGCCCTTCGCAAAGGTAAACGTACTTGTGCCCATCCTATTTCGTCCTTTGTTTCATATGACCGCTTGTCTCCTGTGTCCAGTTCCTTTGTTGCCTCCCTAGATACTATCTCTGTGCCCAGAACTATTCGTGAAGCCTTGGCCCACTCAGGTTGGCGTGCTGCAATGGAAGAGGAGATGGCGGCCCTTGATCGGGCTGGTACATGGACCCTGGTCGATTTACCGGCGGGTAAAAAGGCCATTGGATGTAAATGGGTGTTCACTCCGAAAACTAAGGCTGACGGCACACTTGACCGCCTTAAGGCTCGCCTTGTGGCTAAAGGTTATGCACAAACCTATGGCATTGACTATTCCGAAACCTTTTCTCCTGTTGCTAAGCTCTCATCTGTCCGTCTGTTCATCTCTCTGGCTGCTACTTATGATTGGGATCTACATCAATTAGACATTAAAAATGCATTCTTACATGGTGATCTTCATGAAGAGGTCTATATGGAGCAACCACCTGGGTTCGTTGCTTAGGGGGAGCATGGGAAAGTATGTCGCCTTAAGAGGTCCTTGTATGGTTTAAAGCAAAGCCCTCGTGCATGGTTTGACCGGTTCAGTACTGTCGTACAGAAATTTGGCATGAGCCAAAGCAAGTGCGATCATTCTGTATTTTATCAAAGAACAGCGGCTGGCATGATTCTCTTGGTGGTATATGTAGATGACATTGTGATCACAGGCAGTAATGGTTCGGGCATCTCGTCCCTCAAGTCCTTTCTTAATTCCCACTTTCAGACGAAGGATCTGGGCTCTCTGACATACTTTCTAGGTATTGAAGTTATGAGAAGCAAGAAGGGCATATTACTGACACAGCGCAAATATGTTCTTGACCTCCTGAAGGAAACTGGAAATTTGGGAGCAGCACCGACTAAGTTTCCTATGGTTCACAACCCACTCCTTGACGCTGATGGGAGCATACCACTCGATGATTCTCTTGATGATGAGAAACGGATGCTTGAGGCTCAGAAGAGCAAACCATTTGAGAATCCTGAGAGGTACAGGAGAATGATTGGCAAGTTAAACTATCTCACTGTAACTCGTCCGGATATTACTTATCCAGTCAGTGTACTAAGCCAGTTCATGGCATCCCCGACTGTCAGACAGTGGGAAGCCTTGGAGCACGTGTTACATTATTTGAAGGGATGTCCAGGTCGTGGGATATTATACAAAAATCATGGTCATACAGACATTGAGTGCTTCTGTGATGCGGATCATGGTGGATCAAAGGCCACGAGACGGTCTACTACAGGATACTGTGTCTTTGTGGGCGGGAATCTGGTGTCCTGGAAAAGCAAGAAACAAAATGTGGTGTCCAGATTGAGTGCAGAGGCAGAATACCGAGCTATGGCACAGTCTGTATGTGAGATAATCTGGATATATCAGCTATTAAAGGAAGTTGGCCTCAAAACCACTTTGCCAGCAAAGTTGTGGTGTGACAATAAGGCTGCCCTACATATAGCCTCCAATTCTGTGTTCCATGAACGTACCAAACATATTGAGATTGATTGTCATTTTATCAGAGACAAGCTTAAGGAGAACTTCATCTCCACTGGATATGTGCGTTCTAGTGATCAATTAGGCGACCTTCTAACTAAAGCTCTAAATGGGACTCGTGTTGACTATCTGTGTGACAAGTTGGGCATGCTTAACATTTATGCTCCAACTTGAGGGGGAGTGTAGAGATATGATATGATTTGATATGTAAATATTATGTAATTATGATTAGGATTTGATAGGATATGATATTATCATAATGAGCCATTAATGCAGAGGCTCCTCTCACTTGTATATATATGTGTATATTCTGATCAATGAAATACAAGAGAATTATTCTCCATATTATTCTATTTCCTACAGCAGTAAAATCTTGTATGCTTTTATGTCATTCATGTCCCCTCTTCTGACATATTCTGGATTCCCGAGAAGTTCATTTATCTTAGCAGAAGTCAGAGTAATGGTTCTTCCTCTGAGTTTTGTTGTGAGATAATTATTCACTAAATTATGTTGGTCATCATACTCTTCTACAGATTCCATATTGTAGTAAAATCTCTTGACACTTCAGGGCAGTATTCACCACTAATACTCAACCAGTTAGAGTAGTGTTCCAGAGGGTTACTCAAATCCAATTTGATTTTCTCATTCTTTTTCAAACTATCTAGATCTACTGAGACCACAGGACAAGACTTTTGAGTTGTAAAATTAGCTTTAAACTTTAACATGCTTACATCTTGATCTAAGTTTCCAACCAAGAATTCAGATGATTTGAAAGGTATACTTTGGGCAGAAGGCTGTTACTACACACCTTTTCCTATTCTTTGTTTCTTGTGCCGTGGTTGTTTGGGGATAGGAATTTTTAGTGCAGCCTCCACAGCTTTTTGAACTGAAGTTTCATCATCGGATTCTGTTTTAGATTCTTCGGTCACAACTGGCAATTTGGATTTTGAGCGTGGAAAGCGTCTCTGTGGTGTAGGTTGCCCAATTCCTTCAGCTTGTCTTTCTCTGATTTTAAGTACTCCCTTTTTCTTCAAAGGTTCTTGCTTCACTTTGGGTCTATATCCCTTTTTCGTTGTAGGAGTAGCAATCTCTTTGGACTGGGTTTGCTTTTCAGTGTTTTCTTCCCGGTCACTTCCAGGTTGTTTGACCCTCACCATTTGTCGTTACACCCAAGGATTCTGAGAGATTGATTGGTGAAAAGAGTGTTCAAAGGATTTGGTAGAGATCGAAAGGGCTTAAGGAGTGATTTCGAGTGAAGTGAAGTGAGAGACTTAATGGGACAGTGAGATTTTGAACATTGCGTGAAACAGGGGTGATGGTTTTATCGAGCTAGGACTGCGATAACTGACGGGGTTTTTCAAAATCTGAACGTTATAGACACTAAATTTATTGATCAAGTTATCGATCAATGCATGATCGATCACATGTTCAATAAATAAGAAAAACACACAAGAACACTGAAGACAATTATCGATCAAGTTATTTAACAATGAATTATTGATCACGTTATCAATAAATGTTAAGTAAAAGTGCATACCTGGTATGGTTTATCGATCATTTGATCGATTAACAGTTTATCGATCAGCTTATTGATAATCCTTACCCATTTGCCGGATTTTACTGAGATTCTTCGTTGCTGTTGATCGATGTGTTGATCGATAATTGAGTGATCGATCGGCTTATCGATAATTTTCCTTCCATCATCTTTGGTCAGTTCCATATTCCTTGTTTATCGATCAATTGATCGATAATTCATGCCAATTCAATATGTAGTTATCGATGTTTTCATTGATCATACCATACTCTGTTCACTTTTGTTTTTCTATGACAAAACAGAGCTTCCTATGAAACAAATTTCTATATACTCCGATGCTTAAAACCGGGACACATCAAAGCAGAGTGTCCTCAACTATCCAAGATGAAGGATAAGGAGAAGAAGAAATTCAGAAAGAACAAGGCCTTTGTGACATCAATCTGGAGAGATAGTTCCTCAAAAGAAGAAGAAAGCAACGATGAAGAAACAGCAAACGTCTATCTAGTGGCTCAAGAAGACGAAGATTCAGAGACAGATAAGGTAATCACTTCTGAACCCTCTTATGATGAATTACAATCTGAATATAATGCATTACATTTAGAATGAGTAAGAACTGCAAAGGAGTTGGTAAGCTCTAAGAAAAAGATAAAGCTTCTAGAGGAACAGCAAGCAAAGCAAACAGACACCACACCTCTAGTATGTCAAAGGAGGGGACATGAATGACATAAAAGCAGAGTGTCATATGATGAACAAAACAAAGCTTTACCATTTATCTGTCTTCTCATCGATAACTTATTTATAGATCATGTGATCGATAAATACTTACCAGAATTATGTCTCTTTATCTGTCAATTGTTTGATCATCTGATTATCAATCAAGTGATTGACAATTTTCTACAAACTTCTGTACCAAACAGTGTTAACAATGATCGATCAACACATACAATTTGAATTACCTATTAATTTATCAATCAAACTTAGTGCCAACATTCAAGCAAACAGAGACATTTTATCTGACACTTGATCAATTATCTTTTGATCGATCAACGTACTAAACCAGAACATACTTGATTTGTTATTATCAAAACCTTAAATCTAACAAATTATTTTTTAGAAAAATTTATACTTTCAATTTGCTGAAACATAGTAAAAAAAAAAAATCAATTTCAGCCTCGTGTTCCCATCACATCTTGTTTTCATGCCCCGTGTCCTGCTTTAAAAAAAAAAAATTGATAAAGTCATATTCTCTTGAGTTTGATATCTAAAATAGATTAGCATTTATGTGTATTTTGTTTATAATCCCTTATCTATTTAAAATGTCCTCAATCCATTATATCATCAATCTCCATAAGCCCATTACCTGAATCACAAATCATTTCCATTGCCATTTGCATTGCATTGGGAGATATTCAGATCTTTTTTTTTTTTTTTTTGGATATAGAGATGTTGAGATTGTTAGGGGACAGAATATGATGAATTAAATGTTGGCAAAAAAAGAATACCATCAACATATGTTGGGAGCTAGGTTTAAAACGAATAGAAGTAGAATGTGATGCGGTTATGTTATAGAACAATTTCAGAGTGGGAGGAGCATTGGAGGACACCCACTGGAGGAAAACCTGAGGGAAATAAGGCGAAGAGACTGGCAGATAGAGTTGAAACACATATACAGAGAAAGTAATAGAAGTGCGGACCACCTAGCAAAACCAGCTTGGGAACAGAGGCAAAGGATAACGATCTGGGAGTCACCACCGAGGAATGTCGAGCAAACTTACATGGAAGAACTGGTGGGGATAGGAATCCCTCGAAGCTTAATAGTCTTCTAGTTTATTTGTTTTGTTGTCTTTCTTTCCTGTATCACCCCAAAAAAAAAAAAGAATACCACGATTAATTACCATGTTTAGACAACGTCAACCCTATGTTTCTGTGAAGATTAGAAATCTTCGATTCCTGAATTTTTGCGTCCTTTCTTCACTGCTAGTACTTGAAATCTGCTACACATTGGCGAGATGTTTCAACGATGCTTGAACTCTCTATATACACCAAAAAGGAATTCTGAAAAAAAACCAAGGAAGAATATCAGAAAAATATTTTTAAATTTTTAAATTTTGAATCAATCTTGCTTACTGTACTTTAATAACAATTGTCAACATTTGAAAAACAAATGACAATACATTTTGTTAGTCATTTCTGATTCGGGGTTTTGCAATTTTAGAGGTATATTTTTAGGATTTTCCAGAAAAATAGGACTCTTCTATTTTCTTTTTATAAAAAGGAAAAATCAGGACCCTAGTTGAAGTTTAATCCAATATACTCCCTCTGTTCCTTATTATAAGAGACATTTGATGCTTATGGCATGTTCCTATATATAAGAGACACTTAAAAGTTGTCTCTATTTTTGTGTGTTGATTTTCTATTTTACCCATATTTATTGTCTCTAACTCACACTCTCTCTCCTTCCCACTTCTCTTTCTTTTAATAATTCACCATTGTTCTCTCTCCTTATTAATGAGGGCATTTTTGGAAAAAAATTATACTTTTAACACATTAATTATTCTTAACTAATTTTAACAGTTTTTTTGATCAACGTAATTCGGTTATTCGTCTCTTATAATAAGGAACGGAGGGAGTACTATTTTACAAATACACAACAAAATGTTCACTAACTCAGATTTTAATACCATTTATTTAGTACCAGTGTTGAAGGCCATTTTCAAGCCTGTAATGGTTCCCCAGATCTCAGCTTTTAATGCACAACACATTCCCAACTTTCTCGTGAATCCCCTAATCCAGCATTCATTGCAGTCACAAATTCACACAGCAAGCCTCCACAACCAGCAAGCCTTCCTTGCCCTCTTGTCCCGTTGAGTTTGGCCTAAGCATTATTTGGTCTCATCTATTTAATACATTCCTCTTTTCTCATCATTCCTCCAATACCATTGAAATTATACACCATCAAGCACTCCTTTGTGTAGTAATCAGTCACTAATTTATCTTTAGTTGATCATAAACCCTTTGTGTTGCATAGAATAAATGTTGAATGCAAAACCGTCGGACAAATACCATCTGTGTAGCAAAACCCTGTACTTTGCATGATACTTATAAGAATGATGAGATCAAGCCAATATACATAGAAATGGGTGCTCTTATCTACCCTTCCCTTCCTCTACCATCCTTTTCTCTTCACCACCATTTGATTAAAATTTAATGGTCTAGATTTAACATTTTATAAAAATATTATTATAATTTTATATAAAAATATATAGATAAACAAATTTAAATGGTTAAAATAAGTGATATTTAATTAGGCATAAAGTTTCCAAGTTCTTTGAACCCGTGAGAGTATTCCATACTGAAGCCATTTCCATGTTCTCTGACGCGTACCAAGCAAACAATTCTCCTAATTCCAATTTCAATTCCATTTCCATACTTTCAAATTCCATATCATACTAAATGGCTGATATATAGTTCTCAAAATTATTCTACAAAATAATTTACAATCTCTTCATTTTTCAAAATATTATTGAAAAGGGTGCAAGTCTGTGTAATTATATAATTCTCTGAATTATCTCACAAAGTGATTCAGTGTCTTTTCATTTTTCAAGATATTAAAAAGAATGTAAATTAGGGTTGTTCACGGGACATATCAGGGCCGGGACAGGCCCGTCCCAGTTTTGTCCTGATGAACAGTAAA